TTTTGCAGCTTTTGGATGAGGGTTGCAGTGGGCAGCAGGTCTGTTGGGACCAACTGGTGACAGTGGCACCCTGATGGCACAAGCCTTTGGCTCCCATGGGGCCTTGTCCCTGAGCCCTGGGGGCAACGCCTGTCTCTGTGCAGGGCTCAGAGGAGGTTGAATCCTTTGGGTCCCTGATGTGGTGTGGCCAGTGCAGGGGGTTTCTGTGCTGCAGGGCTGGCTGTGCAGTGTGGCATGGCGTGGTGTGCCCATTGTCCCCGTTGTCCCCATCCCTGCCTTGCTCCCAGCCAACGCTCACCCCTGTCTTGCAGAGCTCGCTTTTTGGAGAACCTGGCTGCAGCCCAGAAGGAGAAGATCTCTTCCATGGCCAAGGGGCGGCTCGACGTCCTCGGTGATGCTGCTCTGGAGCATCCTGCTGCTCCTGCGTGGGAAGGAGACAGCGGCACCTCTGATTCCGGGACGGAGCCACCCAGCATAAGTAAGTGCTGCCAGGGTGTGTGTTCCCAGCTCATCAGGGCCCCTGGGGCGGGGGTTAGTGGCCCCTCTGTCCCTGTGCCACAACTGTGATACCCAGAGCCATGGAGGAGCTGGTGGTACCTCCTTGCTCAAAACACTGGCATCCGAGCACACCCCACCAGGGAGCAGGACCCCAGCTCCACGTGCAGCTCAGCACCACCTGCTCCCTCCAAGCGTGTTGTCCCAGCTTCTCCCTCTCCCTGCAGGGTCTCGCCTGGCTCGGTCTGACACCACCGACTCCTGCAGCACCATCTCCTCTGACACCAAGTTTATGCTGGACATGCTCTATGCCAAGGGCTCCTCAGAGCCAGGGAGAGAGAAGGTGTTCCCTGAGGTCCCTTCATCCCCCCGGATCCAGGGTGAGGCAGAGATGGATGCCAAGGGAGGTAGCAGCCAGGAGCAGGAGAGTGCCTGGCTCCGTGGCAGGGCTCCAGATGGGCCAGTGGCCAGTGCCCACGCCAAGCTGGTACGTGCCATGTCCAGCATAGATGCCGAGACCCACACGCAGAAGCTGGAGAACACCGGGATGATGCCCATCAAGAAGGACATGGAGCTGACATGGGAGCGCCTGGAGGCCAGCCCCGTGCAGCTGAAGATCAAGGACCTGGACTTCACTGATCTGGGGGAGGAAGAAGATTTTGACATCCTGGACACAGGGCCAATGGCCAATGGCTCCTTCCTCCATTCTGGCATTAGAGCAACAAGCACTGGAACATTGATGGCTCCCCCTCCACCTCCTGCCATGCCTGGTTGCCCACCACCTCCACCTCCACCTCCACCTCCTGCCATCCCTGGTTGTCTCCCACCTCCACCTCCACCTCCTGCCATCCCTGGTTGCCCACCACCTCCACCTCCTGTAGCCCCTGGCTGCCCACCCCCACCAGGGCTGCCAGGCCTCTCAGCAACAGATGGCCCCTCCCAGGCCAAGAAGAAGAGGACAGTGAAGCTCTTCTGGAAGGAGCTGAAGCAGCTGGATGGCACTGTAGGGCCAGGCAGGTTTGGCCAGGGGACACTGTGGGCATCCCTGCAGAATGTCGAGATCAACGCTGCAAAACTGGAGCATCTCTTTGAGTCGCGGTCAAAGGAAGTGCCAGCTTCAAAGGTACCAGTGGGCACCCATCGGCCAAGGGGACTTCAGGGGTGGGAGGAAGGCTGTTGGTTCCTCTGGGGACCCTCAGCATGCACTGTCACCCTTACCCTATGCCAAGGATGGGTACCAGCAGCCCAGAGGTTCGGTGGGGAGGGTGATGGGCAGTGCACAGGTTTGGCTCACCATGGGGTCCGTGATTGACTCCCTGTGTCCATGATGAGCTCATGAGCCCTTTGCCTGGCTGTCCCCACCCATCCTGTCCTCTTTGCAGAAAGCTGTGGATGGGAAGAAGGTCGTGGTGGTGCTGGACCCCAAGAGAAGCAACGCCATCAACATTGGCCTCACAGTGCTGCCACCCGTCCACATCATCAAGACTGCTGTGCTCAACTTTGACGAGTTTGCAGTCAATAAGGAAGGGATTGAGGTGAGCACAAGCCCCTCTGAGGTCCTCATGCAGGTCATTTCCCTGCATGGAGACCTCCATGCTATGATGCCTGGGGTGACAAGTCCCATGATGACATGTCTGGAGTCTGACATATCCCTCTTTCCCTGCCCTAGAAAATCCTGACCATGGTCCCGACTGAGGAGGAGAAGCAGAAGATCCAGGAGGCCCAGTTGGCCAACCCTGATGTGCCCTTGGGCTCTGCAGAGCAGTTCCTGCTCTCCCTGTCTTCCATCAGTGACCTCACAGCCAGACTCCAGCTCTGGGCCTTCAAGCTGGACTATGAGAGCCTGGAGCAGGTAGAGAGCCATGTACCCCATCTCCCCTCTGCCCTCCCACCGCTGCCACCCCAGCAGTTCTAAGTGCTGAGCCAAGCATGTTCCTGGTGGGGACCAGCCATGTCCAAGCATGGGAGGTGCCATCCGTGCTGGGGACAGGCTGCAGCTCCCCAGCCAAGGCAAGCACGGGCTTGAGTTGACCAGGGGGTGGTTGTCCTCGTGGGTGAATGCTGAAGTTCCCAAGGGAGGAGGTGGCCAAGGGTTCTCACCTGCCTCTCTCCTCACCCAGGAGATTGCAGAGCCGCTCTTTGATCTGAAGGTGGGCATGGAGCAGCTGGCCAAAAATCACACCTTCAAGTGCATCCTGGCCACGCTGCTGGCCATGGGCAACTTCTTGAATGGTTCCCAGGTGAGGAGCAGGATGAGGACCAGCCATGGTGCAAGGGGAGGGACCACGGGGAGCCTGGGATGGTGCCTGAGGCTGGGTGGTGCTAGTGGGGTCTGCAGAGTGGAGGTCTGCTGGAGGAGGGATGGAGAGTCCATTGTGTTTCAGAGCAGAGGCTTTGAACTGGGCTACCTGGAGAAGGTCTCGGAAGTGAAGGACACCGTGCACCGGCAGTCCCTGCTCTACCATCTCTGCCAGATGGTGGTAGAGAAGTTCCCAGAAACCACTGATCTCTACTCAGAGATTGCCTCCATCACCCGCTCCGCCAAGGTGAGGCAAGGCAGGTGACACCCAGGCAAGGACAGGGTGTGGGTCCTGTGGCTGCCCAGCTCCACCAGCGTGGCCAAGGGCTGACGTCTCACTCTTCCAGATTGACTTTGAAGAGCTGGCCAACAGCCTGGTGCAGCTGGAGCGGAGGTGCAGGGCCTCCTGGGACAACCTGAAGGTGATTGCCAAGCACGAGACCAAGCCGGTGCTGAAGACCAAGCTGACAGAGTTCCTCAAGGACAGCACCCAGCGCATCGTCGTCTTGAAGGTGGTGCACAGGCGCGTCCTCAACAGGTCGGTGGCTCGAGCTCCAGGGACACAGCAGGAGCCCCACGGTCCTGCTGCTGGCTCGCCACGACTGACGTTCCCGTAGGTTTCACTCCTTCCTGCTGTACCTGGGGTACCCGGCGAGCGCGGCGCGGGACGTGAAGGTGACGCCCATCTGCAAACTGCTGCGGGAGTTCGCCCTGGAGT